ACACTGTCCAAATGCGCTTTCGGCTATACATTTAGCCATTATCAAGGATGATTTTATTTTTTCAGTTGAATTGAGTCTGTGCGTTATGTGTATGTTTTTAGTGTGTTATTGAGATGTTTTATTTTGCGAAGACGGTTAGTACATTGTGGCCTTGTTCGTAGTTAATATTGTTAAGTGTTTTTCTTTTTATTATTAGGGGTTCCATTATGTTTAATCCTTTTTTACCAGGTGGATGAGGTTATTATGTTTGTGTCTTCTACTAGTATGTTTCGAATGGAGTAAGTTTGTGTGTGCATTAAAATGGGATCTAATAGAGCTATAGTCAGATAGGTGTAAGGTAAGGCGTCTGGATAAGCATGTAGTTGTGTGACCGATGTAATTATTTATGAATTCGGTTTAATCAGGAGCACAGTTCCTTAAGTAACATTTGAACTCATAGATAATGTTCGTTCGTTTTAATTTTGACTTAGCTGGTACGTTATTTTTGAAGATAAGGTTAGCTGTCTGCCTAGATAATTAATTTGATTTTTTTTCGGTTCAATTGGGATAGTGTATTTCTTTCATATATACAACGAAACAGTCTGTCAGTGGATGACTATATATATATATATATATATATATATATATATAATCATCCACAAACAAACTGTTTCGCTGTATCGCAGCTCTTCAGTGTGACTAGACGTCCGGTTGCCTATAGCTAGGATCGAAACCCGCCGAATTGGCGTCAGTCGGAGATTGTACCACTAAGCCTTCGGCGCACGGTAGGGATGAAGGTGAATTTTAGCGTATTTATTTTTAGATAAGCACACAGTGACTGAGAGGACTCGATTTGCTTTACCGAACAGTCTTGCTATAATAGCCGTAATAGTTCACTGTTTACAAACCCACACTTCCTCCCCCCCCTATAAGGAAACGGCTGATATTACTATTATTATTTTAAACACTTCGCTGGTCTGTTGATAAACAACTCTCCGATAATGGAGATTCCCATGATAATAATTCAAGCCATTCTTTAATTTGTTAGCCTGCACGGCTGTCAGTTGTTTAAATTCGAAGAATTTAGTAATTAAAAGAATTTAAAAAAAATTTTTTAACAAAATTTCACTATTTAAGAGTTATTTACACCGCTCCAAATGTCCATTCAATAAAAATTTCACTTTAAAAAAGAGGGTTTCGCCTAGGACTTGTAAGCACCCCTCGAAGATGTAGCGAGCTCTTTTAATGCTATGATGGTAGTGCTAGTAGCATCTGTTGTGGTGGGAGAGTGGAATCGTTATATTCCTGGTTTTATCCATTCTTACACGCACCTTCACCAAACTGCAGATGTACCACCCATACCAATATGATACCAATATGTTGTACAAGTTAAAAATTACGAGGCAAACAGTTATCCTCGAACCCACATCTTTTCATATCTTTCAGAACATCGGCCAGATCGATCTATCTTTTGTTGTTTCAACTAATTTTATACACAGTTGCTTTCTTGACCGTTTTATTTTATCTTTTCCATCAAACATTTGCTATTTCCATCACATTTTCTTGCCTTATCTCTTAAGCGTGTTACATTCTCCAAGCCATCTTTCGTCATTATATATGCCTGAAGAGTCAACTGCCGCTTTCTGATTGTAAATATCTTCTCGTCTAGTTAATATCCACCTTTAAGAATTTATAAATCTATGCATTGAATTCTTCTGACACATATAGGCTGGTGCTTCTGCAATATATCTAGGTATTCTTGATAAAATTCAAAGAATCTGTAATATTATCGGTCATGACCTGGCAGCTTGTCCGCAATCCCTTGCCCACCGACGTAATGATGTTTTGTGTGTCTTTTTCTTATAAATGATTTTATGAAGGTTCTTCTTGTGAGCATTCCTGTTTGAAACCCCGTTTTCAGGAAATTGAGCGTGATACTAGATTGGCAGGTAGGTCTCACCATTTTATTGGTGAAATTCGAAGAGTAACGGGAAGAGTAACGCGCCTGTGAAACTGTCTTCCAGTTTCTTGTTTCTCTGTCCAATATAATCTCGAGGATGACGAAAACTACACCCGGCAGCATGGCCTCTGATTGGGAGATTGGAGGTTGTGAGGGGCGTGGAATCACACTTCAGCTGCTGTTGTTCCCAGGTCCAGCATAACACAGGGTGGTAGCACCTGGTATGGTCCCAGATATGGGCAAATAATGCCCCTCCAAAGAAAAAACCCAAAAATCTATGAAAGTATTAAAAACTTTTAGTAAAATTACAAACAATACATATTATAGCAAACATTGCCAACAACACATTCTGTAGTAAGAATTACCAACAATATATTTTATAGTAGAATTGAAAACAACACATTTTATAGTAAGAAATACCAACAATACATTTTATAGTAGAATTGAAAAAACACATTTTATAGTAAGAATTACCAACAATATGTTTTATATTAGAATTGAAAACAACACATTTTATAGTAAGAATTACCAACGATGCATTTTATTGTAGAATTGAAAACAACACATTTTATAGTAAGAATTACCAAGAATACATTTCATAGTAGAATTGAAAACAACACATTTTATAGTAAGAATTACCAACAATATATTTTATAGTTGAGCTGAAAACAACACATTTTATAAAAAAAAATTACCAACAATACATTTTATAGTGGAATTGAAAACAACACATTTTATAGTAAGAATTACCAACGATGCATTTTATATTAAAGAAAACAACACATTTTAAAACAACACATTTTATAGTAAAAATTAACAACGATGCATTTTATTGTAGAATTGAAAACAACACATTTTATAGTAAGAATTACCAACAATATATTTTATAGTTGAGCTGAAAACAACACATTTTATAAAAAGAATTACCAACAATACATTTTATAGTGGAATTGAAAACAACACATTTTATAGTAAGAATTACCAACGATGCATTTTATTGTAGAATTGAAAACAACACATTTTATAGTAAGAATTAACAACGATGCATTTTATTGTAGAATTGAAAACAACACATTTTATAGTAAGAATTACCAACAATACATTTCATAGTAGAATTGAAAACAAACATTTTATAGTAAGAATTACCAACAATATATTTTATAGTGATATTGAAAACAACACATTTTATAGTAAGAATTCCCAGCAATATATTTGATAGTAGAATTGAAAACAACACATTTTATAGTAAGAATTACCAACAATACATTTTGTCTGTACTTGAAGGCATGCAATTGCATTGAAAATATATTTAGTTGAAGCCATAGTATTGTGTTCAAAATATTTAGTTTTCGTCATTAAATAACCCACAGAGGTGTCCATATGCCTCCAAACAAAATCAGCCAATCAACCAACTCTGTCAACTACCATCCATAAAATTTAAGTATAATGTCATCACTTTAATTTTTGTTATTCTCATTTTTCCTCAATCAATTTTTTTTCCGTTTCTTTCTGTTTCTGTAATCGCCTGAGTCGTAGTGGCTATATCGCCTTGTTTGGGATGAAATTATTAAAAAACAGAAGACCTCTGATTTGCTCACGTACAATATCTATGGTGTTATTAGCTTTGGTTTAACTACAGTGTTCTTAGCATTGGCCTATCCATCGTGTCTAAATCTTGATCTTATAGATAGTATTCTTGACAAGTGTTTATTAACAGTGTTCCCAATATTGGTCTATTCATAATGTTGTGAGCATTAGTCTATGAATGATGTTCTCATTGTTAACCTAGGCATATTGTTATCAGCATTGGTTTATTCACGGCGTTCTCAGCATTGGACTATCCATCGTGTTTCCAGGATTGAGCTATCCTTGTTGGTTTATTTATGGTGTTCGCAAATTTGGTTTATCCATAGTAGTTTTGGTATTGGTCTATCCATAATCTCTGCCTTATTCTATCTAAAAGATACCATCCCTTAACTGCTGTTGTTCCCAGGTCCATCCTAAAACGGGGCGGTAGCACCTGTTATGGTCCCAGTTATGGGCAAATAGTGACCCCACCACAAAAAAGAAACAAAAGACTATGAAAGTATAAATTATTTTAGTAAAATTACAAACAATATATTTTATAGCAAAAATTGCCAACAACATATTTTATATTAAGAATTACCAACAATATATTTTATAGTAGAATTGAAAACAACACATTTTATAGTAAGAATTACCAACAATATATTCAATAGTAGAATTGAAAACAACACATTTTATAATAAGAATTACGAACAATACATTTTATAGTAGAATTGAAAACAACACATTTTATAGTAAGAATTACCAACAATACATTTTATAGTAGAATTGAAAACAACACATTTTATAGTAAGAATTACCAACAATACATTTTATAGTAGAATTGAAAACAACACATTTTATAGTAAGAATTACCAGCAATATATTTTATAGTTGAATTGAAAAAACACATTTTATAATAAGAATTACCAACAATATATTTTATAGTAGAATTGAAAACAACAGATTTAATAAGAAGAATTACCAACAATAAATTTTATAGCAGAATTGAAAACAACATTTTTATAGTAAGAATTACCAACAATATATTTGATAGTAGAATTGATCGATACATAGTGTTCTCGGTAATGGTTTACCCATAGTGTGTTCGACATCGGTCTATCCCGCCTGATCTCCGAATCGGTTTATCCATGATATATTCATCATTGGTCTACCATAATACTGTCATCAGTGGTCTAACCATAGTGTTCTAAATTTCGGTCTGTCATTAAAGTTCACTGGATTAGTTTATTCATTGTGATCTCTGTATCGTTATAATCATAACGTTCTCAGTATTAGGAGGTCTATCGTGCTCTCAGGATTCGTCTATATCAAAGTTGGTCTATTCATAGTGTTCTGAGAAATCGTATAGATGAACAGTAGTAGTCTAGGCATTGAGTTATCCATAGGTCTCTCAGCATTGATCAAGACAAATGTCGAGGGTATGATGTATCCACAGCGTTCTCTGCAAGGGTCTGTCTATTGTGTTCTCAGCATGCATCTATCCATCGAGTTCAAATCAAGGGCCTATCTATGGTCTTCTCAGCAAGGGTCTATTCCTAGTGTTCTCATCATAGGTGTTGTGTTCTCAGCATGCATCTATCCATCGAGTTCAAATCAAGGGCCTATCTATGGTCTTCTCAGCAAGGGTCTATTCCTAGTGTTCTCATCATGGGTCTTGTGTTCTCAGAATGCGTTTATCCACCTAGTTCACATCAAGGGTCTATCTATGGTCTTCTCAGCAAGAATCTATTCTTAGTGTTCACATCATGGGTCTTGTGTTCTCAGCATGCCTCTATCCATCGAGTTTACATGAACGGCCTATCTACGGTCTTCTCAGCAAGCGTCTATTTCTAGTGTTCTCATCATGGGATCTGCGTTCTCACCATGCGTTTTTCCATCGAGTCCACATCAAGGGCCTATCTATGACCTTCTCAGCAAGGATCTATTCATAGTGTTCTCATCATGGGTCTTGTGTTCTTAGAATGCGTTTATCCATCGAGTTCACATCAAGGGTCTATCTATGGTCTTCTCAGGAAGGGTCTATTCCTAGTATTCTCATCATGGGATCTGTGTTCTCAACATGCGTCTATCCATCGAGTTCACATCAAGGGCCCACTATGGTCTTCCTAGCAAGGATGTATTCATAGTTCTCATTATGGGTTTTGTGTTCTCAGCATGCGTCTGTCCATC